ATCCTTAAGTCCGATACACAAGTCCATTAGAATATCCCAAAGTGCTAATGATTCTCGATACCATCTCTCACCTCTCGAATTGTGGTAGTAACTTTTCTAACTGGTTTATCCCTCTTGGCTTTTGGATCGCTGCTCGCTCTCCCTTGTTTCGTCTTCATTGCTAGCAGCGACTCGTTGTTGCTTGGTCTCATCACTAACGTTTCCTCCCCATGACCTGCTCTGCTACCACTGCTCTAACTGCAAAAACACATGAACAAATTCAAGGCCAAGACAATAGAGAACCTGGAGGCGTTGAAAATCATCATTCTTGATTGATAGAGTACCCAAAAAGAGCCAATAGCCTATCATTTTTTCAAAGACAGAGAACCCAAAAGAGCCAATAGCCTACCATATGCATCTGGTCGTTGACTTTGAACTCTCGATCCTTCACCACCACCATTAAGCATATAAATTACAATTCTTTTGATAGATTCCCCTGTCAACCAGACAGATGATCGTACTTAATTAAATTACATTCTGATTTCTTCAAATTCTGTTCTAGATTCTAATTCCACCAAATTATATTACACAAACTAAACATCCCTTAATTTGAATCACAATATGCAACTTTGAACTTTGAAAACTCTTAGATAATATGATATGACATAACTATTAAAAGTAGCAATAATGGGGATAGTAAGTGGTGACATCATGATTGAAGTTGAGTTGTATCATAAAAAGTGACTAAGGGACCGTTTATCTACGTTCTATGAATTTTCGATTATGTTATTATATGCATTTTCTTAGATCAAAATTAACTTAAATCGCACATTAAAATGTACAATGTTAATGTGTGAGGAGGAAATCTAACATTAACCATTTGCAAATCAAACAAGTTATAAGAATTGAATTATACAGTCTGTTAATCGAATTAAATTATGCTCTTTGTCCCAGAATACGATTAATCCGGCATGGGTTACATGAACCCCTAGTGGTTTACCAGATAAATTGATAAGCCGGGCATTCCCGACCCTTAAAAGCGAAACCGGTGGTTTCTTGGTCACGACCAACTAAAGCTAAAGTTAAATTACAAATTTCGTTCTTGTGTTTAACATTGATTACGAACAAGATCTTTAAACCTCAAATAGGGTCCTCGTGATATCAAATTATGAAGCTGGACCATTAGGTAAATTGTTGCATACGATACCGTTTTGGTGGACTAAAATCTTACACGGTAAGTAAGTGGTAGTGTTAAATTTTATCAGTAAATGCTTACCAGATAAGTGTTTGGTAAACGACCCATAACTCTCCCCCTTTCCCCTCTCCAACAAAAAATCCCACCCGCTTCCCTAAAAGGCTGAAACTAGACTCGTTGAGGACTCCCTCTCTCTTTTTCCCAATGAACCTCCTTCCTCCTCCTTTTCCAATAGACTTAGAACTTTTTTTAAACAGTGACACCATTTGACTATAAAAAAGAAAAATACATGGAAAACTTTTCAATTATAAGAAACAAATATATATAATTTTTTCAAAAAGTGGCACCATTTGACTAAGAAAATGACACTAACATGATTCGAACTTGGGTCTGTGGTAGAATAAAAGACTTGCAAACCAACTCTACTAAATAAAATTTGTTTTCATTGTAGTTTCAAAATACATACAATAACACACAACAAATTAATACAGTTGCATCTTTAAACCTAAATTTTTGCAACTACTAGTTCCGTTGTTATTCAAAGAGGTGAACCCCATTAGTTTGCTTGGGGTCATTGATCGTTGCTGGCTGCTGGAGAGGTTGAGTGGATGGAGACCGAGAAGTGGCCTTTAAATATAATATTATAAAATTAATATAAATATAAATATATTTTTTAAAGCTAAATAAAACACGTGACTTTAAAAAAAACATATTATTTATTTCAATTATAAAAATAAATGATTTTAAAATCTCTCAACCCACTGTGGGTGTGGGTGTGGGTGTGGGTGTGGGTGTGGGTGTGGGTGTGTGGCGACGTTTTCGTTTGTTCATATCCATTGTAGCCTCTCATTTCTATATGTCAATTAATTTATAAATATATATATATATATATATATATATATGATTCCATTTAAGAAAAAACTGACTAGTTTGTAGTAATCGTGAGATCCAATTTTAATCACAAATCAATAGATAAATTAGAAAATTTATAATTTTGAATTAAAATTTTAATGCAAGAACACTTTAGGTATTTTTTTCTCCTCTCTCCTCTCTCGTCTCTTCTCTCTCCGTCCTCCGGTGATACCACTGTGATACTTAAAAATATTGACTCTGTTAAACAAAAGACACAGTGTGATACCCAAGCATATATAAGATGCATTGTGATACCACTTTGTTACATCTCCATTCGACCACACAAACGACCTCAGTGTGATACCCAAGCACATTTATGATACATTGTGATACCATTATGGTATCACCGGAGGACGGTGGCCGGAAGACGGGGGACGGAGAGAGGAGAGTTTTAAAATACCTAAAATGTTCTTACATTAAAATTTTAATTCAAAAATACTAAAATTATAAATTTCCTAATTTCCTAATATATATATATATATATATATATATATAATACTAATAAATAAGTAACTTTGGGGAGCACGTGTTACGTTTCTGTGCGACGGTTATTGATTTTTTCCCGCCTAAAACACAATTTTCACTTACGGCCCCCAAACTTACAACATAACTCTGGAAAAATTCACATCGGGTTTAAAATTTCAAATTCGCATTTTTTAAGCATTTTTCACAAAGCAATATTACCCGGATTTTTTTTTAGAAGAACATGTACTCTTAGTAGTTAATTAATTAATAATAATGTGAATTTAATTAATTTATATAGTTATTAAAAGAATATTACTACCTTATTAATTAGTAATAACATAAAGTTAATTAATTTATAACATCTATATACCTAATAAATAAGTAACTTTGAGGACACGTATACTTAATTAATTAATAATAATGTGAATTTAATTAATTTATATAATTATTAAAAGAATATTAATATATTATTAATTAATAATAATATAAAGTTAATTAATTTATATACATGCATATCTATAATACTAATAAATAAATAACTTTGGGGACACGTGTCACGTTTCTGTGCGACGGTTATTGATTTTTCCCGCCTAAAACACATTTTCACTTACGGCCCCCAGACTTACAACATAACTCTGGAAAAATTCACGTCGGGTTTAAAATTTCAAATTCGCATTTTTGAAGCATTTTTCACAAAGCAATATTACCCGGGAAAAAATTTAGAAGAACATGTACTCTTAGTACTTAATTAATTAATTATAATGTGAATTTAATTAATTTATATAGTTATTAAAAGAATATTAATATCTTATTCAGAGTTAACTCCAGAGTTATTTTCCAGTCTAACAATAGAATTCCGAATTCTTGTGTTTCAGAGTTATTGTTCAGATTTTTCTTTCAGAGTTAATGTCCAGAGTTTTTCTCATTTAATAAGAGTCAAGGGCAATCATTATCAAAAGTTGGTTTATATTTCTAAGACAACGGAAAATTTATACAAACTTGTAGCATTGGCTAATTTTAGCAATTAACTCTTGAAAAGAACTTCACACTTGTAGCCAGATTGGTCGTCTTGATTTAGAAGTCTTGCAACGCTAGATATTGTCCGTCATGAACTCTGGAGGATTTCTTAGCCCTTGTGTTTGTCAAGCCTGATTCCGTTCTTCATACAGAGCTTAACAGAGGTTTTGTACGTGCTATGCGGTCAATCTGAACCAGACTCTATGTTTCATGCAGACCTGCACAGAGGTCTGCATTTAAGTCTTGAGAAAGAGCTTTGTCTCTTCACGAAATGCGTCGAGGTTCTGTCTCTTACTCTGAAGATGACCTTTAGACTTGTAACTCTGAATAGTTTCCGTCTTAATCTCTATAAACTTTATTTACGCTTGTGTCCTTGAAGCCTGATTCTGTTCTTCATACATAGCTTAACAGAAGTTTTACAGGTGCTACGGGGTCATTTTGACCCTGCCTCCGTCCTTCATACAGAGCTTCATAAAGGCTGGGTAATTGTCTTGAGTAAGAGTTCTATCTCTGCATGTACTACCCAGAGCCTCTGATTCCCTTTGCTTGTCTCATACAGAGGTATACAAAAGCTCTGCATGTACTACGCAGCGCTGCATATTGGATCTACATTGTTCGTCTTCATTTAGAAGTTTTTCTGATTATCGAAGCACATGCCATCCTTTGTATATGTAACATTTAATTCTCGAGTAAGAGCATCTTTATATCAAAAATTTAATCGGACTTGTACTTTTGTCTAAGTTTATAAATTACCTCCGATTATTAATTCTTTATAAAATACATATCAGTTTCGTTTTATTTTTGTCATTAACCTGTGTAATACACGGGTCCAAACCTAATATGTATATGTGTATATATATATATATATATATATATATATATATATATATAGTTAGGTTCTCGTGAGACCAAAGATTTTTCATAAGACCCGTAAGACCAATTTATGTTCATTAATTAACTTTATAAGCTAATGACTATTTGTGGTAACCGAAGATTACCAAAATTATAAAAATTCTTAATATATCTATTGATTTGTGGTTGAGATTGGATCTCACGGTTACCACAAACTAATTAGTTCTCATTTGATTAGTCTCATATATATATATATATATATATATATATATATATATATATATATGTGCGCGCGCGCATATGTATGTATATATAGAATAATTAAAAAAATCAAATTAATTTAATTGGTAAATAGTTTGTTAGTTAAAACTGTTTTATTTTGATTATTATCTAATAAAAGTTAACATATTTTTTTAGTTTTTTATTTATTTTAATTATCATTAATTTGTTCATTTTATTGTTTTAGTTTTACTTATAATGAAAAAATGTTAGCGAACATAGTTTTTACTGTAATTTTTGTATTAATCAACATATATCTGTAAAAAAACCGATGTCTAGCAATCTCAACCGATCCTCAACTGATCCTACATAAAACCCGCCTTCAAATACATTAATATAAGAAGACATTTTTGGTTCATTCAATAGTTGAAGGTAGCAAACCGACATCTGCCTTGTATTTGGACAAAGTCATCCATACCTTCTTACCATTTGAACCATACATCAGATATTGTACCAATCAGTAACCAGAGGTACTGAGATTTCATTTTCCAATTCAATCAGATTCCATTAATACAGAAAACAAACTTCCGCTTCTTTCCGGTACAACCTTCCATGACCGGATATCACGTTTCATAGCTTGCTCTTCACTTTCGACGGTAAACTCCCCATTGCGGCCGCCTTTTGCCGGAGGACGAACTTCTGCGTCTTTCCGGTCGACGTTTTCGGCAACTCCGTAAACACCACCGTCCGTGGCGCCATATAATGTGGCAAGTTTTCCCGGCAGAACGTCATAAGCTCATCGCCATTCAACTCATGTCCTTCCTTTAGCTTCACGAAAGCACATGGCGTCTCCCCCCAATGATCATCTGGCCGCCCCACCACCGCCGCCTCGAGAACCGCCGGATGCCGGAAAAGCACCGTTTCCACCTCAATCGTGCTGATATTCTCGCCACCAGAAATTATAATATCTTTCGATCGATCTTTGAGTTCTATATAACCGTCGGAATGTCTCACCGCTAAATCACCGCTCCGAAACCACCCGCCTTCAAAAGCATCGTTTGTCGCTTTCGTGTTCTTTAGATATCCGTTCATCACCGTGTTTCCTCGAAACATTACCTCCCCTATCGATTTAGTGTCCCACGGGACGCTTTTCATTGTCACTGGATCCTTAACGTCGACTTCCTCCAATCCTAAATGATTTACTCCTTGTCGGGATTTGATTCTCGCTCGAGTTTCCGGAGGTAGCAAGTTCCACTCGGGTTTCCAGGTGCACACGGTTGCGGGACCGTATGTCTCGGTGAGCCCATACGAGTGAAACACATCAAACCCCATCCGTTCCATTTCAAACACCACCTGAGACGGCGGCGGAGCGCCGCCAGTCATCACAGCCACCTTTCCCGGAAGCGGGATCCGCTCACCAGCCTTCGCATTGACCATCAGGCTCAAAACCGTTGGTGCACCACTCATGTGTGTGACTTTATGTCGAGATATGCTTTCGAAGATTCCATTGGCAGTAACTGCCCGGAGGCAGACATTCATGCCGCCCTGTGCTGCCAATGCCCACGTCAAGCACCACCCGTTGCAGTGAAACATAGGAACCGTCCATAAGTATACAAGCATCGACGGCATCTCATTAAGTAAAATCGCAGCTAACGAATTCAAATATGCACCTCGGTGACTATAAACAACGCCTTTCGGACTAGAAGTCGTTCCTGATGTATAATTAAGCGCTATCGGATCACATTCATCAACGGGTCTTCTGATCTCGAAATCAAGACTTCCCATTACCAAAAGATGTTCGTATTCCATGTTTCCCGACTTGGCCCCGGTGGATTGTTTGCCAGATTCCGGGATCAAGATTAGTTGAGGAACCGTAGACGTTGATTTCAACATGATCTCAATTGCACCCTTGGCGATATCTAAAAACTGGTAATCGACAAATACAAGTTTGGCTTCTGAATGTTTAAGCAAAGTTGATACCATTGTCGAATCATGTCGAATGTTGAGGGTACAAAGAACGGCACCAGCCATCGGAACCGCAAAATGCAGCTCATACGTTTCCGGTATGTTTGGGGCCAAAACCGCCACCTGCCCGTAAACAGAAACCACGAATTAGGATCAACGAAGGCATCCCACACATTTCCAAATTTTCTTAATTTTTACCCATTTTGACCCATAAACACTTGGCGATTTTGATTTCAAATTTATCATCCATTTCACTATAACCTTCTCGTAAACGGTATTTACGTTTGTCAAGTGTTACTGGATCAACAAGTTACCACTCAAAATGGGCACAAAATAAGAAATTTTGAAACCTTCGTCACAATAAATAGAAACTATTCCAATTTCGGTTATATTTTGATACATTTTTCCCAATTATTATCAAAATAATCAGAAAATGTGAAACAGAATTAGTGATAACCAGATAAGAACTAAAATAACATAATCTTATCTTGACGTAAGAAAAGTTTGACTTTTTTAGTCAACTAGAACACTTCTACATCAAGATTAAAATATGAATTGGCTTAGATCTAATGAAAAGAACAAGAACCATCTTGAAATTATTTTAAGAGCAGTGTCATTTTCAAGAGAAATTTGATCTTCAAGATGAATTGATGTCATTCATTTCATGGCAAAATTACAATATAAGAACAAAAAGTCAACTATTCAAGAAAAGTTATAGTTTCCAAATTGATCAATGTTTAGGGTCCGTTTGGTTTGCAGGAATGGAATGGATTTGATGAGATCTGAATTTCAAATTCATTCCGATTCATGTTTGGTTTGCAGGATTGTTTGGATTTGAAATGTTGGGATTTATTTGAAATCATTCACACATAGGATTTTGAAATTCCACAGAGGTGGTTGGGATTTCACAGGATTTCTTTTAATTTCTATATAATAATGTTTTAAAATATGTTTAAAACACCTGTTTTCTAATAGTTCATTAATAAAAAGATAATTTAATTATTTTTTTAGTAAATTATTTATAAAAACGGAATTCCATTCCAAATCCATCACACCAAAGATTACAAACCCTTCCAAATCCCTCCGATTACAAATCTTTACATGAAATTCAAATCCCTCGAAACCACTCCATCAAACCAAACGACCCCTTAGATTTTGTAGAAGAGTTTGGAATTGAAAAGAATTGAAAGGAGTTGGAACTTTTTGATTTGTTTGTTTTGTACCATTTGGAATGGAATTAAAATCCATTATTTATAAAACAAAAGTTTTTAAACAAATCCTATGAAATACCAATTACCACGTCGAATTCCAAACTTTCGTTTAAACCGAATGCAATATTGGAATGGAATTTGATTCCAAATTCCACTAAATCTCGCAAATCAAATGGACCTTAAATATGATAAGGAAATCAAGCTTCATGAGATTAACGAGAATCAAATGTTGGGTTGATTCATGATTTGAATTGTGAAAAACTTAATGAATGTTAGAAACAGAGTACAACAACGTGAATTGATTAATTCACCATAAACTTCAGCTAAAAAAATCAAATCAGAAACAGTAACTAACAGTAATCAAAAAAGCAAATCGATCAATAGAGATTGAAATTAAGAACACAATTCATAAATCAAAAGGTAGTTTCTGGAAACAAGTAAAGCAGTTAAGTTAAGATCGATCAAGGTTATCAAATGCAAAACACAGTAATTACCAGCAATCTAGAACTGAATCATTGAAATGGAGCACGAAATCGATAAACCTAAAACACMAAATCAAAAACTTACAACATCTCCACGAGAAATTCGAAAACGGTTAACGAGAGATGAAGCGAGCTTCACACATCGCTCGTATGTCTCTCGCCAAGTGAATTTCACTTGATCGCCATGAACAATCGATAATCTGTCTCTGTAAACAACGGAAGATCTCTCCAAGAAGCTGATTGGAGATAGAGGAACATAATTTGCACCACAACGAATCGTACCTTCCATTGATAATCAATTGTTCACTGAATCGTGAAATTTCTAGAGGGTTTTAGAGCCTTTTTGAAAGAGGAATGCTATGGGTGTGGGTTTTTGTATGGTTTAGAGGACGAGTATGGAATCTGGATTACCATTATGTGGTGCGTCCACGAGGGCTGAGAATGACCCATGCCCCCTGTGCCATGGACTCATATGAGATCAACAGCAAGGAGATATGGTTTCCAAGTGGTGCAGGTGTGTGTATAAATGAGAGTTGACGTGTCTCAAAAAAATCCAATTTTTTTTAATGTCTGTATTAATATAAATATCTATTTCTTTATTATATAATTTATAACGATGGGTTTGGAAAAAAAAACCTCTAATATTATAAAATAACATTAAATATATACAACAAAACGCTATAAAGGTAAAAAAACTGAATCTTCATACCACCAAGCACCAACTAGTGATGGCCAAAAGTCGGATGAATTGATGTCATTCATTTTATGGCAAAAATACAATATAAGAACAAAAAGTCAACTATTCAAGAAAAGTTCTAGTTTCCAAATTGATGAATGTTAGAAACAGATTACAACAATGTGAATTGATTAATTCACCATAAACTTCAGCTAAAAAATCAAATCAGAAACAGTAATTAACAGTAATCAAAAAAGCAAATCGATCAATGGAGATTGAAATTAAGAACACAATTCACAAATCAAAAAGTAGTTTCTGGAAACAAGTAAAGCAAGTAAGATCGATCAAGGTTATCAAATGCGATACACAGTAATTACCAACAATCTAGAACTGAATAACCGAAACGGAGCACGAAATCAACAAACCTAAAACACAAAATCAAAAACTTACAACATCTCCACGAGAAATTCGAAAACGGTTAACGAGAGATGAAGCGAGCTTCACACATCGCTCGTATGTCTCTCGCCAAGTGAATTTTACTTGATCGCCATAAACAATCGATAATCTGTCTCTGTAAACAACGGAAGATCTCTCCAAGAACCGTTTATAACCGGTCCTGGGGTAACTGATCCCAAGAGGTCCCAAAATTTCTCATAACCGGTTATAACCGGTCCTGGGGTAACTGATCCCGGTCCCGGTCGAATAGATGAAGACCGGTCAGGCTAGTTTATAACCGGTTATGAGCCGCCGATCCCGGTCCCACCCTTAAAAAATTATATTTTTTAATTTTTTAATTATATATCGATTGAAAAACGCCGTTGTTGAGAGTTTGAAGAACAATCAGAGGCAAATAAAAGGTTGGTTTATCTCTTACTAGATAAGAGGACAATAAGACATAAATACATCTGAAAAATTGGAAAAAACAAACAGTCTGAATAACCTTACATCTTAATGAATCAGACATAAAAAACTAATAAGAGTTTCTTATAAAAAACAAACAAAACCTAAATCTTTTTCAGTCTGATTTTTTAACCCGATGATCTTAATTTAGGTTTTAAAATTTTTTGAAACCACGAGTGTTTGTTCCCCACACGTAATCATAGTACCGAACTAGAAATCACGAATCGTGTATTTTTTCCGTCTAAATGAAGTTTTTGCTCGAAGCATAAATTTACTTTTTTTTTTGTCTTAGTTATTAATATGTACTTTTCAATAAAATCGTTATAATAACACGTGTTTTTATAAATAATTCAAGTCAACGGTTGATCTTAACTATGAAATCCGTCAACATCTCTCAGTTAAGATAGGCCGCCGAAAAAGGGTGTCACGCTAGTTATGTTTCATGGTCCCCATTACACGATGAACCGGTTTTTGTCATTGCGGCCTTTCATTTCACATGGAGCGTTTCGTTTTTTATGAACCGTTTCTTAAATTGTAGAGACAGGGTTCATTAATCTAAATATTCATAAAATTATAAATGAAAATTTATTAAAAATCAAATTAATTGAATTGATAAATAATTTACTCATATTAATAAGTGAAAATTTATTAAAAAGCAAATGAATTTAATTGATAAATAGTTTACCTATATTAATTCATTGTGTTTGAGGGGATGTTTTGGCAGTTGCTGAATGGTTTGGTACAAAATTATTAAGAAACTCTCATGATATAGTGTAAAATGAAATATTATTGTTTGGTAATTGTTTGCAATGAAATTAGGGCGCTTAATGATCAAGGGAGACTAATGATACAAAATTATTTAGAGAATTTTAGAACCATTAAGAGCCAGACTTTTTTTGCCAAACAAGATTCACCTCTTAACGATTTATTGCCTCTTAATTGAACTATTTAGAAGTAAACAAACAACCCCTAATATTTATTTAATAAAAGTATCGAATTTTAATTGTTTTAGCTTTGTTATTTATTTTAATTATCATTAATTTCACCATATTATTACTAGTAACTAGTAATATTTATTAGAAATTAAATTAAGTAGACCACTTTTGATTCAAAAGTATTTTCCAACCTAAAAGGGTTCATTTACCAAACACTTATCTGGTAAATATTTATCGGTAAAATTTAACACTATTATTTATTACCGGGTAAGATTTTAGTCCACGAAAACGGCATCATATGCAACAATTTATCCGCTAAGCGCTTACCATGTAAGAGTCGTCCTCCTCACTTACTGGGTAAGGCTTTTGGTCATTGTCTCCCTCTTACTGGTTAAGATTCATGGTCTTTATCATATTCATCTAGTAAGGTAATGTGACTTGGTGTTCACTTATCCGAATAAACGTTTGGTAAATGACCCCTTAAATCGTGTTCCATTCAACATTGTGGTAAGAAGGGGGGGTAAAGGAGATGTGTTAGCCATTGCTCTTTTCATGGTTCTAACCAAAACCATATACAACGAATCATTTGAGTTGTAATAGAGTAAACCGTTTATTTATAAAATGAACTGAACCAAATGACATTGAATGTATCAGTTACTATTTGAATAAAACAGTATTAAATAATGGCTTTAAGCTAATACTGACACTGTTCAATTTTTTTTAAATATATATGCAAAGAATATGAATTTTTGAACTCTATTGACAGACCTAAATATCATAGAAACTACACAATTATTTACAATATCGGGCTTACGCTATTTCCCAACTTACGGGCTTAGGCCCTTCAATGAATTTTGTATACTACAAGTTCATTTTGATCATTTTGTAATAATTAAACACCCCTGTTCCATTTTTAGACAATAAGTATTAACCACCACCATCGACAGTCCAATTACAACCCCACCAACATCAGTACACCACTTCGTCGTAATGGCGCCATTGATCATACCGTCAATGATAGTATCATTTTTGACTTTGTGATCTTCATTATAAAATATTTTTAGCAGAAAAATAATTAAACAATTTAAACAGGTTTTTCATACAAAGTGGTCGATAGTTTGCTCATAAACACCAGTTTTTAACAAAGCGTCATTAAGTTGTTACCTAAATATGTGTTGTTAAAAGATGACTTCTGATGTTTAATTTTAATATATCCTGAAAATCATTATTAAAAAAAAGCAGCTAAGGGCAAACTTAGAAGACGTTTGTTAGCATACTAAGTCAAAATCTGATAAAATTGGAATCGCTAAATTACTTAGGCTTGTTTCGTTGATAATATATACTGAAACTCGATTTCGCTGAAATCTCCAGTATCTGAATGTATAAAGGTTTCATTCCTTAAGTAAACCATGGGATTCAATTACATAACGTTCCAAAATGTTCAAAGAAAGAACCATAAGGGTGGTGTCTGATTGGTTTGAGTTTGACTCCAAAGTTCAAAAGTACCAGTAGGTCTCAGGTTCAAATCCAATGAGGAATAAAAATCCTCTTATGGCCACGGAGGTTCAAATGCTGTGACTCCGAGCTATCTGCAAAGCAGGTGGTCGCCCTGGGATTAGTCGGCTTGCATAACGGGTTATCCAGGTTAATAAAAAAACTATTTTATCAAGATATAATTAAGTAATAAATGATATTTCTAATAGTTTTACTAAATGGCAGTTTATATTCTTTTATAATAACTGGTCAGTTCAATAATTTTACTGGCATTTATAATTAGTCTTTAGAATTGTACCTGTAAACTAAACAAGAACTATAAAAGAATCAGTAAAAGGTAAAACTGTTATTTATATTTATATTTTAATTTTAACATTATATTTAACAAAACAAAAAAAAATTAATATAAACAAAGGTTGGTTTCCTTTCATTGTCTAACATGTAAATATGTGGTTAAACCAAAATCACTTTCATTCTATTTTTTTTTCTTATATAACAACTAAATTGGTTGTTTGACGGTTGCTGAATGATAAGATGCAAAATGATTAAGCAGACAAAATGATTAAGAGACTCTTATAATACAGTACAAAATGAAATATAATTGTTTTGTAGTTATTCAGAATAAAATTAGGGTATTGAATGGTTAAGAGAAGCCTAAAATACAAAATCATTCAGATGGTTTTAGAACCATAAGAGACAAACTTTTTTTTGTCAAACAAGATTCACCTCTTAGCGATTCTAAAATTACCTTTTAATTTTTAATGGAACTATTAAAAGGTAATCAAACAACTATAAAACTAGTACGAGTCTGTCCGAAATCAAACCCTTATTTATTATATTTTTCTCTCAAATTTTAATAAAAAGATAAATTATTTTGATAAAATATATAGTTTATAATATTAAATTGTAAAATATTTATTTCTTTGTTTAAATTTATTTGTTCATTAATAGTAATCATAAAATATTGTTAAGATTAATTATAGTTTCTATTTTCTTTTGGGGAAATTTAGGCATTTAGAATTTAATTGAATATAGTTTATTATCTTACAAATAAATATTTGTCAATGAAGTGATTAATAAAACCGAACTAATTTAGGGGACGTTTACCCAAATGCTTACTCGGTAAGTGCTTACTAATAGAAATTAACATTATAATTTATTTTTATTGGATACGATTGTAGTACATCAAAACTGTATCATATGCAATAATTTACCCGGTAAACGCTTACTCGGGTAAGAGTCGTGACCCTCACTTACCGGGTAAGACTTTCCATCATAATCATCGGTTTTACCATGTAAGATTCTTGGCCCTTGCCATGTTAATCCAGTGAGGAAAATTGTTCGGTAAAAACTTACCGGATAAACTTTTAGTAAACGGCCCATTAATCTGGAAAAAAAAGACCAAAGCCAAACTGCATATTTAAGGTTGAAGTTGGGCCATGCCCAATAACACCCGATCAACACATATCCTTTGTTCGTTTT